ATTATAACCAATGGACTTGGGCACTTCACATTTTACAGTTAGTAAATATACTTCGCCGCGTTGCAGGATACTGGTACAACATAAATATATATATTATTATGTGATCTCTTCTACGACGTGCAAAACTATTTGACCCCCAAAACTCGGACACATCATGATGTGAACSCAGATGATGTCTAATATATACATATTAAATATCATCGGCGTTCAAATCATGTAGCCGAGTTTTGGGGGTCAAATAGTTTTGCACGGCGTTGATGAGGTCATTCACCTTTCTGTTGTACCAGTAACCAACGCGACGAAGAATAATGGCCAACTTAAATATGCCAAAGCGTCCGGCCCGCTGGTCGGCGGGGTCCAYCGCGTACTGATCTTCCGACCTGTGGCCTTCCACAGCCATCCAACCGTAACTCCTGCGCACCGCCTTCGCCCATTGACCGTCCCAAGCTAACCGCTGTTCGTCAGTGGAAGTCGGCTCATAATAGACGGCCTCGTATCGGTCTGCGTAATCGTCGTTTATAGCGGCCGCGGCCATCCGTGCCGCRCCGCTGATGGCCATGTCCAACCGTTTCACCGATAACTTACTGCCAGACACGTCCGCCAACCGCTGCATTAGGCCGTCCAGTCCTGCGCATTGCCCGTCTACGTACACGGGTACCGCGAGTTTTGACGCCGAACCGGCCACCACACACCGTACAACGTCTTTGACGCTGTGGCAGATCGATTCGATGGCCGCGGCGATCAAGTGCACGCGCCGGGTGTGACCGCCGATGCCACAAATCACGGGGCGCGCGTCSGGTCGTCCGTACGGCGCCGACGGCAGGCCACCGAACGCCGGCACCATGTACGCCTGCCGTTTGGTCGTCTTAGGCCGGCTGAAAGCGTAGGTATTCATGCACTCGTCCCACGATTTGGTCAGGCCCATATTTTTCAGCCAGCACATGACGGCGCTGGCCTTGGACACTGCCAGCAAGCCGTACACGATCGTCGGATGTTTCCGGTCGGCCATGTTCGGCTCACAGTAGCCAACCACAGGCCATGGCCCCTGGGCCGGTTGCTGGCGCGGTGGTACACGGCCGTGCGCGCCCAGCACCACAGCCGTTCGGTCTGTCAGTGTGACGGACACCTGTCCGTGGCGGTAGCACGCCTGTGCGTAGAGCACGGCGCTAGGACGTGCCATCGTCACATGCACGGACAGCCCGTACAGGCGGCCAATAACGATAACAGCGGACGAGCGCTTGTCCAACCTGCGTAGCGCTGGCCAAGTGTTGACCGTCAAACCGTTGGACCGCAAAGCGTCCACGTTCCAGCACAGCGTGGTCAGGTCCAGCAGCCCAGTGTACGACGCATTTGTCACGTCCGTTTGGTACGTATCACCGCCCGTCAGCTTCCACGTCAGCCACGTGTCCAGTGTGCCAAACCGGCAGTCTTCCGCTGCGCACCGCACGGCCGTCGACCGCTGGATCAGCCATTTCGCGGCCGCGGCCGTCCTGCCGTTGACCATTCGAACGTCCGACCAGTGGATTAAGTTGTGCACCGCTTTGCCCGTGACCACGTTCCACGCTACCAACGTAGCCATCTCGTTGATGATGGCCACCGACTTGATGTACGTGACCGGTGTGCCGTCCCGACACATCTTGTCCACCGCGTCGTTGATCACTCGCAGAACCGCTTCCCAAACGACGTCCGGGTCCTGTTCTACTTCGCCCTGGCTCATAGGCGGCTCACTCTCGGCGAAACAGCTCGGTCGCTGATCGGGTACAACGTCCTCGGTGGCCGGCGAGGGTGTACTCTGCTCGGCCACGGCGCATGACGTAGCAGTCGCCACCGCCTGWCGATCAGCGCTCACATAATTTCTGTTACCTTTCCACTCTTTCGAGTCGACGGTAATTAACGGAAATGTTTCCGCCGACGTGACCAATTCGCTTCCGTCTCTGGTCGACACCACTGTGAATCGAACTTCGTCCGACTCGACGGATAGTACCGCAATGACTTCCGTTTGTTTCATTTTTAAATGAAGTACGTGGTGTATAATATGATTATAGTGGACTTATAAAATTTTTATTTTATTGTCTGTTTATATGCTGCGTAAAATTAAAATGTGTATAAATAAAATATATAAAGAGGTACTACACGGTTTATGTTATTTCCTAGGAAACTATAATAATTAATGTTGATAGAAAAAAAAAATCATAATAAACGCAAGTGCACTTATTAATTCGAATATATATAAAATATTGAAAATGTATATACTGGCAAAACAATAATAATGTATGTCACGTATATATATATTTAAAATATTTATACAGATTAGCCTACTGAAGGAATAAAATAAAAATAAAATTTAATATTAATTACTTATATTCAGTTACCCTTTTTTATGAAGTAGGTATCTACAAGGAAACGCTTATTAATTTATAATAGTATAGGTACCTCCCATACATATATGTTGCACTGTTGCGTGATTTGCAATTGTTGTCAACTAGATGTCTAGATACGACTACCTATATAATATGTCATTGCCCATTTATGATATACATTTTAATAATCATTATTATGTCTTTTAATTTTTTATGACAAATTAGTTATAATGTGTCAATATGTGTCAACAAAAATCTCATATTAATTATAACAACGGTACCTTAGGTACCTATCATATATCTATATTTTCACAGATTTATACACGTCTTCTATATAAACTGGTTTAACTAATTGTGTAAATGGTTATCATGAAATTGAAAAAAGAAATTCGAAAATTTTAATTTTTTCAGTCTAAAGTATTGGCATTATCCGTTATTAGTTATTTCCATGAAATAATATATCTATTAATATATTGTAATTTGTAAGCAATACTGAAAGAGGAAAAACTTTCATTTTATCTACCTAATACCTATTACCTATATATGGTTATAATATACATATAGTAATAGGTTACCTACTTGCACATTTTCTTCATTAATTATTAGCCTGACCTAAATTAATAACTTATTTTGCTATTCTTACTGGCTACTGCAACACACTATAATAATTGCAGGTATACTTAAAAATCTACTTGCGTTCAATACTTCGATCAATAATGCATAAATTATAGTGAAATAATATGAATAAATAAATAAATATTGTATTTTAAATTATTTTATTGTGGTTGACACCAATAGTATTATCATAAATTATATTATATACAAACAATCACAGAAAACCCACGCATAAAACTATTTTGATGAAAATATACGAATAATTATACCAAGGGCGCACCCGAGGGGGTGGCTAACGGGCTTTAGCCCCCCCTCCCCCCAAATGGCTAGCCACAAACATTTTGATAATTTTATTAGGTTTATTGACAATTTACATTTGACTTTAAATTATTATAAAAAAAAATTATCAACTATCGAAATTGAAACATTATATAGGTATAACATAATATTATATTATATTTCTACCTGTCATTCCGGGCCCCGGGTGAGACCTCTGTTGTCTATTATTATCGTCACGACGTCGTTAGTTGAAACCGTGTACTGTGTAGGATACCGGAAACGTCTAGAATTCTAGATTATACATTTTTATCGATACAATTTAGTTTATTGCAATCCGCAGGTATCTTTGCGTTAACAAATTCCACTTTCATTTTATTACTTATTTAGTAGATTAACTAGTATTGTCGTACAACTGTTCAAGTCGACATCGTTGGTTTTTCGCGAGCTGATTTATTTATTTATTTATTTATTCATTTTTAATTGTTAATTGTTTTTTGTTTATTGAAATAAAACTTAAAACCGGAACAAAAAAACAAAATTAGTTAGTAAAAGATTGTAAACAAGCTTTAAGATTTCTGTACATATTTCATAATAAATACTACCTATTAATATTAAAATTATTTGAATTTAGCCCCCCCCCCACCCAAAAAAAAATAAAAAAATTCTGGGTGCGCCCCTGAATGGCCTGAATTATACATTCAAATGACCCACAACATCTATAGATGTTACATATTTGATATTACATATTGTTTGTTTATTCTAGACATACTATAATGTTATACTAATAATATATTTCATATTGATTTCAATCACGCTTTGTTTGCACACATCTTTTCCAACACCGATAATATCGAATACGTCGTCCGCATGATCTATAAACATATAAGTAATAGCATAAAATTATTGCGTTTAACTGCAAGTATATCATAAAATAATACATTATAATTTTATAACACTATTTAATGTAATGGCCCTTCAAAATTTAAATTTTAATAAAATAGATATTACTATGTGGATTCTAATTTTTAAGATAAGTGTTACATATTACATTGTTAAATAATACGAAAAAAAATCGACCAGWGGGACTATCCCCTCCCCCACAAAAAAACTACCATTGCACAAAATTCGTTTGCACGGCGAACGCCGTTGGATTAAATATCAGGTAATTTATTATTATTAATTAAAGACCGGATTTAGTTGCACTAAAAATATGTCAAAGTTGCAATGAAAATAATACAATAATTACATAATAAAATCATCTACGCCATCATATATTACCCACGTATACCCTCCAATGTTTCATTTTTAATATTTGTCTGACTCGAATTAGGCATTTAGTTAAATGTCTAGCCGTCTAGGTAGTGTGGTAGTAATGTCAGGGTAGTGAAATTGCATAAAATTAAATTCATTGACTATTTGCCTAGACCAGGCCCGGATTGAAGCGGTGAGTTGTCGAGAAAATCTCAGTGGGCCATTCAAAAAAGTAAATAAATAAAACGGTGGATCGTAAGTTTTTAGGCAATTATATTTGATGATACAAATTTGAATACATTTATTTACGTCGGTGCGTTGCGTAAAATCTAGGTAAATTTAGAAATGTTCATTTTTAAAATGGACTTTTTAGAGCTGGTTAAAAAACTAATACTCGGTGGGCCGATATACCTTGTAGCGGAATAGTTACCACTGGACACTGGTTATAGTGTATACCTATATTTCACGGAGCGCAATCGTGTTGCGTTTTTTTGTAGGTATGTAAAAAGGTTAGGACGGGCACAATCGTGTTACAGCCGTCTATCCGCGGTGTTGGCCTATAGGCATTTAGTAAAATGCCTGAATTGACGATATGCCCGATATTCCAATGATATACATGTGTGCCTATAACATACCACGACTGCAAACGACCCCCCTTGCGGGAGAGACCGCCTTTCTCTTTTACGTGTAAAAGACCGTTACCCGCTGCATCGGAGTGCATTGCCTGCAATCTGCATAATGGCTTATATCCATTCTTATAATATTATTATCTACGGATAGGACAGTTGTTATTAAAATTCAAACACTACCGATGAGAAGAAACGCAAACACAACGAAATGCTATGTGACATAGCTTATGTGGGGGGTTATGCTTATGAAAGTAATAGACTTTCAGAGTAATCATTTCTAAGAAATGTCATGATTTGGGAGAGTGTATGAGTAACCAACGGTTACTGATCACACGAGATTGTTAATTTATTATAGGTATCTATATGATTATAATATATATAATATTATATAATATAATTATTATATTATATTATCATTATGTATGCTCATTGATCAATGATAAATGCTAAAAGAGCGATCGAATATTATAATAATACATCACTAATATCGATATAATAATATATTGTTGGTATAACTACGTTGTAGGTACATATCAAAAATGCAGTTGCACAGGATACACATTACAAATTACACATTCGTGAACAAGTGAATAAGTGAAATCGTATATTTGCTAAAAATTAAGAAATATTAAACGTTGATCCGAGTACTCAAATACTATGTTTTATGTTTTGAAATTTTATTAGTTTATTACATTATCAATTTCGAAGTATTTAAATAAAACAAATTAACAAATTAATCAGCCCACACAATGTTTTACAACTCTACGTTCATCCTATCACACTATAACGGTACTATGTAGGTACGCGGGAGGTTGCTGCATCATATTATCTGTATGATATTATTATACGAACAGCGAGTGAATAAATATAAAATATGTCGCAAAATTATATTTGTTAATAAAAGGCATGTCCACAATACGCGCTAATAAAAAGAGAAGAAAATCATACGTACATCGGTAAACATTTTGAAATTTACTATTCTATTTTTCGTCACTTGTAGTCTCAGATTTTCGGCGTTATTCATTCGCATGGCATGCAGCAGTAGAATTTTATGTTGCAAATTGCTTGGCGTCCAATCACTGCTGTACAAAGCAAGGTTCATGGAATCTTTCTAAAAATAATGCGAAAAACAACGTAAGATGGTTATATTAAGTTGGTAGATCGACGAGGTGTTTGAGACATACTGATATGCATATAAATTAAATAATATTGAATATTATTAAACATTCGAGATTCGAAGAACTATGCGTCTACGAATTAGAGCCACTAYGCCACATTCGTATTTTGTACTTTAATAATGTGTTACGTGAACTTTGAGACGTTGAGTAGGTAATGTGGCCGTAGTCCGGTAGTGATGCAGTGTTGAGTAGTAATAGGCGTGTGTTATAATACTTTAGGTTTCAAATTTCATATTAAGAAAAATTAAAACACACTACGTTATTTGAATTATTGATCTGCACTTAACAGGTAGCCAGTCAGTTCAAATACCTATATAGAAGATAGCCTGGCAGCAGTGTAAGAATGTCGATTACTATATGTCTATATTATAATATGGCGTTTACCTACATGGCTACATTACGCGCGTACAAAAAAATAAAGCTTTACATAAGTAAAATTAACTTTACAAAAAATTATTACCTACAAATAATTAAGTTTTTATTYCTACGTCATAATAATACTAATTTCTTGTAGTTTAGTCCAAAAGCACCCACAGAAATATAAATCGGGAGAGGGAAGGGGGGGGGAAGTCAAAAATCTGAAAAATCGGTAAAAAGTCGCTGATAATACACCACATTCTTTTTTTTACAAGTAATAAAACAATTAATAATWATTATAATAGGGTTGGCATGCCCCCTGGAACCTCGCTGTGAGCGCTTAAGGTTTAGTCTTTTACAAATATGTAACGTACTTGTTCGTTGACGTCATCAAATAAGTAACATGTAACAAAGATGTGAAGTGTAAATGTCGATATCGCTGCAAATAGTCTCAAGTTCATCACAGATAACAATGACATACCATTAAAATAGTTCTGAATATGCAAAAGCGACACTTGTAAATATTAAAATATCCCATTTCTCGCATGCTGCAGTTACCTATTCTATATTTATAATAATATTAAGTAAATTAAATCAAATTAATTTTACCATCATTGCAATACAAGACAAAACCATTATTATGAAAGACTCGGTAGCTAGTTGACTAAATACCACAGGTCGAAATACTCGGTAAATGTTTCTCATGTTTCTGGAATAAAATTATTACATTATTTCAGCGGCGTARCCAGGATTTTTTTTCGAGGGGGGGGGGCTGATCAATTTTTAAAATTAGTAAAATACAATTTAAGACTTTTTGACTGAATATTTGTAGACCACTGTAGTGATCACGTCGCCTACAGGTATCAGTAGTCAAGAATGATGTTGGAAGGTGACTCTTGAGTTAATTAAACAACGTGGAATTCTTCTTAGTTAGATTATTTGATTATTTATTTTGACAAAACGTATATATTTATTTAAAACATGAAAGCTGAATTTATTTAAATATTTAAGTATTCTGAATAACTAGAATAAATTCGGTTTTACTCGAATATTTTCTAAGTTCAAAATATTATTTATAAGAATTTTTCTAAGTCCAATAAATTAAAGAACAGACTGGCGTGAAGGTGCTCTGGTTAGTCTGGTCAAGTCGCGTCTGAATACAGGCCGTTTCGGGGTCCCTTATATAGTGCTACCCTCTACTCCCCATAGTCTACTTGCTCTTGTCCGTTGTTCTCACGGATGTGGTATAATCATCTAAACTGACGGAAATGCCACTCGCCCACGTACAAGCTAAATGCGCATCCCATGCAGCTGCAGACCTCGATAATTTATATTATTACTAACATTATTATTATGTAAAAATATATATTATGATATTACATTATAACATTGGTTCTTGGAACTTTTGTATTGATGCATAACCCCACATCCTGTGCACACYTATCAATGATCTTTTATGGTCGTCTAACCACATGATTTCGTGTTGCCCTAACGTTAATGATTTCCACGAAATGCTTTCTYTCYTATAATTACAAAGTTGGTCGCACCCTACCCTATCTTGGTTCGGCTGGTACCTAGTTGACCGTGAACTAGACAATGCGGGACGCTAGTCCATAGCACCACTACAATAATTTTTAAATTTTATTAACATTTCAGGGTGGGGAGGGGGCTGCAGCCCCCTCAGCCCTCCCTCTGGCTACGCCACTGCATTATTTTATTAATGAATCTGAATCACATAATCGGAATAAACGACATTGTATCATTGCAGATCGATTATTATATTATGTTAAAACATTTTTTTTTCAAGTGTTTAAACAGCACTACAGCAGATAGGTAGATATTAGGTATACTACAATTAATATTTTGATTGTATTAAGTATAGATAATTTTTATTCACATATTACATAAACATAAATACATAATACACATATTATTATTACTATGTTATATGTATGATTAAAGATTTCATCGGAGGTTTATTATAATTATAATATTTTAAAAATAATTTTTTATAATTTATAGTACCATATATATACATTAACCATGGCTCTAAAACCAAAATTGACTGAATTAGAGCCATTCAAATTTTAATAAATAATACATTTCTACAATTCATTATAAAATGCATTAAACCATTTATTTATTATTGGTTACTATTTGAATATTTTTACGAGTACAGTTGTAATACATTTTAATTAAATAATTTTATATCCATATTATGTTAATCTTATTTATAACACGTATAAAAAAAAAATACGTAAAAATANTTTTAGATATTCATTTATTTATATTTTATTATATTGTACTTTTTAATCATATTTTTCACCAAATTTTGATTTTACCAATTATAAAATACATTTTTAGTTGGTCATATATGTTAATTAGGTTGTGTTTTACTTGTTATGTGTTCTAATTAATAAATTTTAAGTACAAATGATATTTCTTTTTCTAACCTAAAATATTGTTTTGTATCAATAAAATTAGTGGGAATTACTCACTAAATTTACTTATTTTACATAAAATTTTAAAGAATTCATACTAAAATAATAGAAGGTTAAGTTATAAAATGATCTAGGTACTTACCAAATTGGTTTTAGGCGTATATGGAAGATATTATACTTTTCTTAGTATAAAATTAAAATATATAAATTCAAAATTTCAACTTATTGGTTAATTTCACTAGTTAAACATTAATTCTGAGTGTAAGTCTTGATACAATTTGCATACATGATTACGAAAATTAACCACACAAATGTTATAAGTTGCCCTTCAAATGGTTTTACCAATAAAGTACAAAACATAGCTATAAAGCCTGTAGTTGAATACACGAAACTTAATTGATTATTTTTAATATTCTTTTGTCGCCTATGGCCACAGAAAAATAACTTTAACTTTAATTTATAAAGAATGCATTTATTGTTAAGAAGGCATAACAGTTAAATAAAATAATTTGACTTCTGTACTCCATTATTGTGGTATCTATCTGGGAAATATATTCATGATTTTAAACTTTTTACCCAACTATATACTGACTAGTGACTACTGTCTATATTACTACTCTATTAGTGACTACTACTTGTGATTACCAATTTCAAACAAMAAATCCTAACATTAACAAATTATCGGTGACAAAACTAAGTGAGATTGAAAGAATGCTCAACATAATAACCTACTCTTAATAAATTTAAGTAAGATATACGAAATTTCTTAAGTGTCGATTCCATTGCTCCAAAATAACATTGTCTAATGGTAGAGCCCAATAGGTCACGATTTGCACCTCATTTTGAAATGTATTGGTTATTACATATTTTGACGAATGACAATAAAAGAATTATTCCATAATTATAAATATTGTTTGAGATTTAGGGGAGGGGGCTGAAGATCAGGTTTATATTCGACATTTTTTTTGACACTTATAATGTGGTGTATATATGACATTAATTTTTTTGAGGGGCTATACAAAGTTTAGGGGGCTTAGCTCACCCAGCCACACTTATTAATTACTCTGTGCAATTCTAAAAAAWTGCGCACGGTACTTACCTACTAGATATAATATAACATATTCTGCGTTGTCAAATTTTCTATAGAAAATATATATTATTATATCCAGTGATTGATTTGGGGGGGGGGGCGGAGTCCCCCTTCTTTTTAAATTTTTTTTAGCGTACCCCTTCTATTTATTTGAAACGGAACGCTGGGAACGCAACATTTACTATAGAGAATTTGTAAATCATCAATTTAAYAACAAAATATCGTTTATTTTTAAAACTCAATGGTCATAAATTATTATGAGTATATATTATACATGTTACATATCATTGGTGTTCACATCATGTAGCCGATTTTTGGGCGTCAAACAGTTTCGCACGTCGTAGAAGARATTACATTTAGATCATATAATAATATATACCTTTAGGTTGTACCAGTAACCTGCAACGCGTCGAAGCATATTGACAAACTGTAAAATGTGAAGTGCCCAAGTCCATTGGTTATAATTTATACAATATAAACGTAACCTTTGTTCTTGAATGTTAAGACTTRCAAGAACAAAGTTTACGTATACAGAGTGTCCCATAAGTCCCGTATCACCCTATATATCTCCATGGGAAATCATTTTTTTTACAATACTAAGAATGGAAATTCTGATTGAATRRCATAAAATTCAATTTAAAAAAAAAATTTTTATGCATTTAAGAATTTAAAATTTGTAAGATAATCATTTTGTTAAACATATTTTTTAAAACAGTTCAAAAAACAAAATTTAAAAATTGAATAAAAATTGACCAAGTTAGAGCAAGTTATGTTTTTGAATAATTTTAACAAAAATATTAATTGTTTCACATTTCAATAGTAAAATTGTTATTTCAGCATGACAATACTTTTACATACTTAATTAAAGTTTTGATTTGAATAGAAATAAAAATAGTCATGTCTTATCGTTTGCTGAACAGCGAAACTGGTTACCTATTTTTAAGTATTGGACTCTGTGTTACAAATAATGGAGCTCACTTTGAACATTTATAAAAAAAAATGTAATACATAATTTTCGTTTTTATGTAATACATTTTTTTATTTTTTTATTGTTAAAAATATTATCTGAATTTTAATTTTAATTTTTCCTAAAAGCTCCACTAATAGTTAGATAATTACAGATTGACATAAAAATCAGCGTTCCAATCGATGATTAAATCGAGTAATTCGTGTTTTGATAGGTAACAACTATTATTATAATTATTCAAAAACATAACTTGCTCCAATTTGGTCAATTATTATATTTTATTTTTTGAACTGTTTTAAAAAATATGTTTAACAAAATGGTTACCTTACAAATTTTAAATTCTTAAWTGCATAAAAAAWTTTTTTTTGAATTTTTGAATTTAAAAAAAAATATTGAAYTTTATGCTATTCAATCAGTATTTCCATACTTAGTATTGTAAAAAACACCACGTTTAAATATATTGTTTTCTCGTGGAGATATTAAGGGTGAAACGGGACTTATGGGGCATACTGTATATTGTAGACATTATAACCAATGGACTTGGGCACTTCACATTTTACAGTTAGTAAATATACTTCGCCGCGTTGCAGGATACTGGTACAACATAAATATATATATTATTATGTGATCTCTTCTACGACGTGCAAAACTATTTGACCCCCAAAACTCGGACACATCATGATGTGAACSCAGATGATGTCTAATATATACATATTAAATATCATCGGCGTTCAAATCATGTAGCCGAGTTTTGGGGGTCAAATAGTTTTGCACGGCGTTGATGAGGTCATTCACCTTTCTGTTGTACCAGTAACCAACGCGACGAAGAATAATGGCCAACTTAAATATGCCAAAGCGTCCGGCCCGCTGGTCGGCGGGGTCCAYCGCGTACTGATCTTCCGACCTGTGGCCTTCCACAGCCATCCAACCGTAACTCCTGCGCACCGCCTTCGCCCATTGACC